AGAAGTAATGGAGTTCGTATCTTTGGACTTGCTTGAACTCTGATGGGAGATAGCATCGCTGAATCTTGACGTCTGACAGGTTCTTTAAGTACAGGAGCCAAGACTCCCACCGTGGTCTCAGATCGTCTGGCAGCGGATCATCCCATCCGACCTTGTCGCGACACATCTGCTGAAGTATTTGCTTTCCCATTAGAATAAAGGGAGTGACAAAGCTCTTTACATGAAAACACTGAACCAGTGTCACCCAATGGTGCTTGTACAGTGGGTAAATGCTTCTCTGTGTCTTCATCCTGTAGAACATGTAGCCGTTCAGTGAGTTGCTTTGATACAGCATCACAGGTGTCAACCCGACGTCTGGTGTCTGCGACAGGGGCAGTCTTTGTGAATATCCTCATAGCGTTCCTTCTCTTCGAGATCAGCAGTATTAACTTGAATTCGGTGTTCATGTAGAACTTCTGTTGATTTGGGTAAGGAGAGAGCATTTTAAGCCTCTTGGGCAAGTATTTTCCATTTCTCATATGTTTTGTCAAAATTACGTTGAAGTTGCTTTAATTTTTCTTTATGCAGTTGCTGACCCTTTTCAGTAAGTTTTCTTCTCCTCTTGTCTTTATTAACATCAGAGTCTGCATTCACTTCAGTCTCCTTTGCAGGGCCTTCTTGTAAAGGTTCATCATGCACAGACTCCTCTTCTTCTTCATGAATAACTTCCGGGTCTCGCATTTCCCTTGCAATGTCCCGATCAGTCATTTTAGTGTATTGAAAATTAAATTGAGTTTAAGAAGTTTAAGTAACCTTGAGGAGCCTAGTGCTAATTAACTTGAATTCAATTGTCTTGTGAATTAAAGTAAGTTTCACCCTTTAAAACTTAGAATCACTGAAAATAGGCAAATACCACAGTACTCCTTTAAACTAAAATACTTCTCAAACTTGCTTAGTGGTGCTTAACACTTAACCTCAAAGATTCAAATATCAAAGGCAACAAATGTGTAGAATATTCAGAAAAGTTATCACCTTAAACCTTAGTTACACTTCAAACTTAGCAAGCATTTCTCAGTGAAATATGCAAGGCCTTATACTTATCCTTATGACAAGTGCAATCAGTCTGACTGAACCTTGAAAATCAAAGAGTCCTTTCAGCAGTTTTAGAGGCTACTCCACGTCTTCACATTTAACTTGGCTCAAACGTGCTTCTCATTGGCATAACCACACAACTCTCTGAGATTACCGGCAGGTTGCATACTGTCCTTTGACGAGTGGCTCCTCCGAAACCTCGAACATCTTTACAGCTCTGACGAGGAGAGACGGGCGCACGCACTGGCTCCTTGCTAGCTGCTGGTCACCCTCTCCCCTTGTGTCGCAGTGGCTGAGTTCCCGCTGTAATTCCCTCTCGAGTCGAAATCACGAAACCAGAAAAGCTAATAAAAATACATTATTTCTGCTAGACTCAAGGTAGCAGCTCAAAAGTTTGCTCTTTTAGCACCTGCTGATGCATTGAAATTAAAGCAAGAACTTGAAAAAATGAATGCAGCACTTAGGGCAAGTAAAGAGGAGCTGGAATTGAAAATAGCTATAGCCATGGCTGATGCAACGCTTGAGGTGTTAACTGTAAGGGAACCAGCTAACAGTGTTACTCCTGCAAGCCAAGGTGGTGAGGGCCGCTTCAGATCTGGACAGTCAAATACCAGAGGTTTCTATGACCGCTCAAGGCCAGACACCATGCAAGATGTTGCAGTTCAAAGGAGTTCAAACAGCGTGAGCAGACCCTCTCAGCAACATTCAGATTTGCATGGACAACCCAGTACAGGACAAAACAGGGTTGCTAATATTAGAGACTTGCTGAGTGTCATGCAGTGTCAAAATGAAATCACAGCTTCTAGTAAAACAACAGAAGGTGTCTACTCTCCCACGGTTGGATGTGCCCATCTATGACGGAGATTCTTTAGAGTTTGGGTTCTTTATGAAAGCATTCAAGCATGGAATTGAAGAAAGGATTGATAACAATAAAGAGAGGTTACATTTCCTTGAGCAATACACTCATGCCAGACTGAAAGTTCTTGTCCAAATTTGTTCCTATATGCATCCAAACAGAGCAGAAGCCAGGAAGCTTTTGAACAAACATTTTGGAAATGAATACACCATTGCTTCTGCTTACATTGAAAGAGCACTTAATTGTCCTGTTACTAGGTCAGAAGAGGGAGAAGCTCTCACTGAGTTTGCTGTGTTCCTCACTGGTTGTTCTAATACAGTAGAGGAGTGGAGTACATTGAGGAAATGGATAGTCCTTTTAACATGAGGGCAGTCACCACCAAACTCACCTTCTAAGAGACAAATGGAGGGGGGTTTCTTTTGACATCCAGGAAAGGACCGGAATGAGGACTAGGTTTGCTGATTTGGTCAGTTTTGTGGACAAATAGGCAAAGATCTCTTATCCTCACATCTGTGCACAAAAATCTTGGAACTATGTGATATCCTTGTCTTTATAAGTTTGTATATGTTAAAAAACTATCAGTCTTGAAGAAGAAATTTAAAATACATTTTGGATAAATTATCAATCATTTTATTTATGAGTCAGAAAATGCAGCTATAGTGTGAAAATGAAAAAGCAGTTCTGTTGCTTTTTCGTTTGAATGATGGTACAGAAATGCTTCCATACGTTTCATGTCATTTTAATAAAGCCTGGTCTTGATGGAAAACTGCACCCTGCCCCTCTGAGGGGGGGAAACTGAAGGCCTCGTGGATGGGCTGGGGGTACTACAGGGTTTGGCCTGAGGGCTTTGACGTCCCAGCCGTTTCTCTGTCACTTTTAAGCGCTCTGTTTCTGCATTTGGTTGCTCTTCTGTGTCTTCCCTCCACTTCCCCACCAGCCCTTCACCCACTGGTTCCAGAGCAGCCGGGCCTGGTTCCTCCCTCGGTGGAGCCTCTGCATGCTGGCGTCTCAAACCAGGTCCAGCATCGGTCATCTGACAGGACCAGAGGGGACGTCATGGCGGCTGATATGGTTGGGGTCAGGGCCAAAGGTCCTGTGCTCCTGAGGCTGTGAAACCAGCGGGTGATTTCCACTCTCTATCTGTGGTCAGCCGGCATGAGGGGGCAGCTCCGTCCAGGCGGATGTTCCCAGCAGAGCTCTCAGCTCTCTGGTTCTGGTTCCTGAGTTTTTAAAGCAGAACGGGGGGGCCAGAGCCTTCAGGAAGCAACCCCCCCACCCTGAGGAGCCAGTTTGAGTTCAGGAAGCAGACCCCCCCCCTCTGGGTTCCATTCACAGATCATCAGGGGCCTGCAGGGCCCTCAGTGAGCAGCCGCTTCCTCTTTAGGAGGGGAAGCAGCCCTGCCCAGAAGCACCAGCCCGCGTTAGTGCTGATGTTTGCTCTGATTCAGAAAGCAAAAGCAACCAGGGCGCTTCTCATCACTGCCATTATTACGATTATTATCAAAGGAAAACAGAAAGGAGCCCATCAGTAAAATGGCTTATTCTTATTCTTATCATTACTAGAAGCTTACAAAAAGGAGCCCATAAATAAAAAGGATTATCATTCTTATTATTAAAAGCTAACAAAAAGGAGCCCATAAATAAAAAGGATTATCATTCTTATTATTAAAATCTACAGAAAGGAGCCCATAAATAAAATTAGGACAGGTCAGGTTAGGGTTAGGACAGGTTTAGGGTTAGGAGAATGTTTAAGTGAGGGTTAGGGCAGGTTAGGATTAGGACAGATCAGAATTAGGACAGGCCAGGTCAGCGTTAGCACAGGTTAGGGTTAGAACTAGGGTTGTCACGGTACAAAAATTTTCAACTGGATACCGATACTCAGGAAAATACTCGATACTCGACACCATTTTCAATACCACAAGGATAAAAACAAAGACCCCAAAATTTAACTGAATTTAACCCTCCAACCTTCATAATTGTGAGAAATAAATATTTTTTGGTTAAACTTGTTTGGAAATACTTTACAAACCTATTTAACCTTCCACTATTTTAACATAATATTATGGATAGAGTTTAATTCAGTCTTTGAAAGATTAATTTCACTATTTCTAAATTAAAGTCTATATTACCATGAGGCATTACCATTTTCTTGCCTGGAATCTTCCTATTGGTGACCTAACCAAAATGGCCGACTTGGATGTCATTAGCCACAGCTAGCAGTTCAAGGCTAACGTCTTGTTAATGATCATAAACAACATAAATAAATACATAGATAAATCAGAGAGAAGGGGGGGGGGGGGGG